AAATGTACAGAAATATACAGTTAACAGTTGGTTTAAATAATAATGGATTGCATTCATATAGCGCTTTTTGAGACCCTCAAAGCGCTTTACAATTCCACTTTATAATTCCCCTCTGGCCATCACCAGTAGGTGGTAGGTGAAGTGTCTTGCCCAAGGACACAACGACCGAGAGTGTCCGAGCCGGGGCTCGAACCGGCAACCTTCTGATTACAAGGCGAACTGCCAACTCTTGAGCCACGATCGCCCTAAATAACAATAATAATAATAATTATTTGATGTAAAAAAGTTTATAAGAATCATTCTATATATTTTTCCATAGCATTACATTTGAATTTAACAGTTCAATCTTTCAAATAACGGACAAATATTTGTGAAATTATGATACATTTGTGACTGTATTTTAACAATCTAAATATGCATATGTACAGACAGATACATTTAAAAAACAAGAAAATTATGTTTTATTACATTTACAGTGATTTTACGTTAATTTACATTTGAAATGTAAAATCACAGTCTATTTATGTGAATTTAATTTGTATTTGTATTGTATTTATTTATTTATTGTCATTGTCAGAGAACAATGAAATTGCATTTGGGGCTTCCGTACAACCCGTAAATAAAATAATGAAGAAAATAATAAATACCCCTTAAAACCCAAGTGTAAATATTTAACCCAGTGTGACTCCAGTGCAATAAGACAATCCTTAGCAACAACATGAGAACATGACAAGTAAACATGAGAACCTGACAAGTAAGTTCAGTGCTATTAAGAAGTTGGATATGGTTATTGTCCGTGAGAGGGGGGCAGAGAGTTCAGGAGCCTCACAGCCTGTGGATACAGGCTGTTGGCCAGTCTGGATGTTCTGGCCTGTATAGACCTGTACCTTCTCCCTGAGGGCAGCAGGTGGAAAAGGTGGCGCGCAGGGTGATGTTGGTCCCGCAGAATACTGTGCACCCGTCTCAGACAGCGAGTGGGGAAGATATTACTAATCTCTGGCAGACTTATTCCAATAATTCTGCCAGCTTCTTTCACCACCCGCTGGAGTGCTTGCTGATCGGCCTTGGTGCAGCTGGGGAACCACACTAGAAATCCATACGTCAGAACGCTGCTGATGGCACAGTTGTAGAAGTTCAACATCAGAGATCTGGGAATGTGTGCGCTCCGCAGTCTCCTCAGGTAGTAGAGGCGCTGTTGGGCTTTCCGTGCAACTGAGGTGATATGGTTGCCCCAGGACAGGTCCTCGGTCACAGTTACCCCCAAGAATTTAAAACTGCTCACCCTCTCCACCGCCTCACTGCCGATGAAGAGAGGCAGATGGTTGTTATGACCCTTCCTCCGGAAATCTACAATGATCTCCTTGGTCTTTTTGGTGTTTAAGACCAAGTTATTGTCGTGGCACCATGACTCTAGTTGTTGCACCTCTGTCCTGTAGTTTGTCTCATCGTTGTTGGATATAAGTCCGAGCACTGTGGTGTCATCGGCAAACTTAACAATGAGATTGGACGCGCAGGAGGAAATACAGTCATGGGTGAAGAGAGTGTATAGCAGAGGGCTCAGGACACACCCCTGAGGGGCACCGGTGTTGACCACAAGGGTGGAAGAGGTGTTCTTACCCACTCTGACACTCTGTCTGTGATTAGTGAGGAAGTCCACAATCCAGTTGCACAGAGAGGAGTTCAGTCCCAGTTGGTGGAGTTTGGGACGGAGTTTGTATGGCCGGATGGTTATTATATTCTAGAAGAACAGTACAAAACTGTAAAATACACAGTAAAATACTTTTATATATTTTTTTTTACAGTGTAGTCTAAGGAGCTTAGAAAGAAAAGCTTCTGGACTTTTTTAAGTTGCTTGAAGACGTTTCACCTCTCATCCAAAAAGCTTCTTCATTTCTAGAGTCAAATGGTGGAGAGTCCCAGATTTAAGCCCTGTGGGAGTTTCCCCCCGAGAGAGACAAAAGGACCGCCTAAAGATCCTCTACCTAATCACATGAGCCAAGATGTGAAAACGGGAGTGGGTCACAATCAGCCAAGGTTTCGGGTAAACTCATTGTGAAACCTAACCCCACCCTATCATGTGATTTCCTGCGGTCAGATGTCCCAGGATGTGAGTGGGCATTAAGGCGTTATTCTCTCATGTCAAAATTATACATACAGACACAAATAATCATTGACGAGTGTTTGTAAACTTCTCATCACAACTGTATTTGCTCTAACATTATCATATTTAACTGATAAATTCAGTTAAATCCTTTAATCCTTTTTTAAAATTGAATGCGTAAGTGACATTAAGTTACACTACCTATACTGTATGTGTGTGTGTCTGAAGCACACAATAACTGAGTGAATGCTGCTCTTTGTTTGTCAGTCAGGATTTGAAGCCTCCAGCAAAACTAAGCAAAGATTCAACCAGCCATAAGAGCAGGCTCTTCTGCAGAGTACTCGCACTTGCTCATCACCGAGTGCGGTCATCTCTTTTTTTCTTTCGCTCGTCTTCTTGCTCATTTTGTTTCTTTTTCCCCCTCTCCTCGCACAATTGCTGCTTCAATTCTTATCATGAATTCATTCAGCTAAAGTTCGCCTTAGACATTTCTTCTCATCACATGGCTCATTAACTTATAAATTATGGAAATTATTTTCAGCTGCATACTACATTTTGATTTAGTTTGCTTGGTGTCATTTATTTCAGGGCAAACCATCATGTCTTGGGTGTGATTTAAAATGAACTCAGTTAAACTAGGTTTGTCTCAAAGGCTCTAAGGCGTGTTGCAAGCAGGAGACAATATCAGCAGGTCTGTAAAACTCTACAAATGTAATTTAATGATTTGCATATATTGTACCTTTTTGAGCTTTTATTCTTTTAATCACAGAATAATAACCCAGTACCGTGGCCTCAGAACCATAAGCCACTCAAGCTTGCTTTATTACTCCATTTGATTATTTATTTATTTAAATTATCTTGTGTAGTAAAACTGAGACTTGTGATCAGGTAAAGTTGGGTGTGCTCAGGGTGGTAGCTGGTAGTAGGTGTGAGTGTCAGCATGAGTTGTCAATGTTAGCCCTGATGACCTGTCCAGGTTATACCTCAGCTCTTGACCTGACAACTGGGATAGATTCCAGATTTCCCAAGACACCGAATTAGAACAACATGGATAGATGGCTGGAGAAAGACTGTATCAAAGAACTGGTTCATTTTGAATATTATTTTCTTTTCTATGCATCTCTGACATTTTTTAAAATAAGCATTTCCATCACTGAACAAATATCAGATTTATTATTAAAGAATAACATCATGTAGCCAATAAGTACATTTTTAGGTAGAAATGTTTGCTGGTTCATCAGATATAAATCCTCTATAGATTGCATGTTTAAAATGCTCTGGATCATGCTAACTAACCTGTGCTTATTAGCGAGAGCCTCTTCTGTTACAGAAGTGTTTTGGGGGGAGATTCTACAGATCTAATGTATCGATAACATTATAACATTCCTTATATAATAAAACCATGCAGAAAATGCCTAGTGAGGGTACAGAGCAGTCCAGAGCTAACTGTGCAAACTGTATGAATAAAGAAGTAGCTAAGCATCATTTTCATCTGTATTTTCTTCCTCTTCCTCTGCTTTCACTGCCTGTAATTTTGTGACAGATGTTTCACAAAGAAGATGAACAGCTGGATGCTGTGAGGCTGTTTTTTCAGCCTTTTACTTTTCTCTCTTCTGTCTCTCCTTCTCTCTTCCCCTTTTTCTTCCATCCATGTTTTTCTCTTAAATAAGTACCATATGGACCAAAGATCCCAGTCATGGCAATATCTAACCTGTCAAAGGTGAAATGAAAACATAATCTTCCCATTCTTTAAAGATATTGCATATAAAGCTGAAACACACTTTAAAATAAAGATACACTACGTCTCTGAAGACGAATATCTAATAAAACATCTGTGAGTATGGACCTCTTTATTCTCTCCATCTTTTTTCTCTTCACTTCAATCCCCTCTAATTTTAGATAACTGTGCACTTTCAGTGATTGATGAATGCGTGTTTCTGCAGCATATGTGTGTGCATTCATTTGTGTCTTGTGTGTACATGAGTGTGGGATTACAAAAGGCGCTTTCTCTATCTGCCCTCAGTGTAGAAGCACATTACATAACTTTATAAACCATGCCTGTCCTGGACACATATACATTTACACGTGTATGCAACCACACAGTCACACAGAATAAGCTTTATATCTACATAGGCATGCATTTCCTGCACCTGTTCATTTAGAACAGAGACAAGCAAATGAATGCCAACACATATGCTCATGCAGAAACATAAAGGCTACACATGTGCTTCCTCACTCTAAGCAACAACAGGATGCACATGCAGATGGGCACAGAGAGTAGACTCAAATGCTAACTTATTCTAAACAGATGAACAGAAGAAATCTCTAATTCTAATATATATAGATATATCTCGGCAGTACTACAAGTCCTGCAGCACTATACGCTACATCATCTAGGGAGGGATGATACTACCACGCTTTGAATCAAGAGAGTAAAGTGATGCACAGGGAAACAGGGAGAGATTCATGAAAGGATAGTGGAGGAAAAAATAGCAGGTTAGATGATGTGAGAAGGAAAGCAAAACAGCAATGTGTTAATTTTATGGGTGATATCACTACATTTGAAGAGCGAGAAAGATGTAGAGGAGGTCAAAAGCAGGGCATAAAGATTTGTAGAAGCAGAGGCAGCAGTCTCAGGCAAACATCAGGATGAAGTTAGGAGGATAAAAGTTTACATATTACGGCGTGACGGGTGGGAAGTGAAAAGTTAAGAGGCAGAAGACCTGCTCTGATTCTTGTTTCTTTATTTCTCTGCAAACATCTTCTCTTTCCATTCCTTTACTTGTATGTTTCTGTTTTGGGGCTTGTAACTAATAATATAGTAGTTATTTGTGAATTACTAATTAAGCATTAGTATTAGGGGTGCAGCGGTTAGCAGTTTTGCCTCACAGCAGAAGGTCTTGGGTTCAAATTCACTGACCTTTCTGTGTGGAGTGTGCATGTCCTGTCTGTGCCTGCATGCCTTCTCTGTGGTTACTCTGGTTTCCTCCCACAGTCCAAAGACATGCATGTTAAGTTAACTGGTGAATCTAAAGTGTAAATCGTTGTCTGTCTCTCTGTGTTGGCCCTGCGACAGACTGGTGACCTGACAGCTGTGACATGCTCCAGACCCATCTTAACCCTGAACTGGATGAGCAGGAGGCACTGTTGCTGTGTATGAGTGCAAACACTTGACCAACCCTTTGTTCATGTTTTAACAAAAAGTACGGCGGTCTTAAACAGTGACTGAGACAACTTACATGTTGAGACAGTTGTCTTCTGCATGGATTCACAGAGCATGACGCACACAAGCTGCGAGACATGCTATCTTACACACATGTTCTCTAATTTGTGCATATGGCTTCACTCGTACATGCAGATGAATGCTGTTAATATTTGTACACGAGCTCCCGAAATGCCAACATGCATTTGACTAAGCAAGCTGAGTCGAGTGCCGAGTGCTCACAGTGCCGCTGGTTCAAATCTGTAGGTGGATGCATCTCAAACCTCCGCCCTATTGTTCTTCTCATTTGCGGCTGAACAACATCATTTTTCACTTTTCTCGCCGTCCGTCAGGGCTCTCCTTCACTGATACATAAATAGTCTGTCAGAGTGAGGTTAGAAACCTCCAGCTCAGCTGTTTCGGAGATGAAACCACTCCCACCCTTACCCACGCACATTTTTACATCCATACTCTCACAGTGGGATCTCTATAGCTGTCGCACACACACATGCTCTCACAGTGTACACTCATCTCTCACTTTCACTGGAAAGGATAGCGCTCTCTCTCTGTCTCTCTCTCTCAGTGTATACTGTGTCTCTCTCAGATGCAGTTAGGTCTCTCATTCTCATGAAGCGCAGCTCCTCTCTGTTTCTGGATGCACTCTAAGTCAGAGCGTAGGACAAGACAGACCGCATCCTAAGAACTGGTTTCTTTCTTCGCATACAGCCGGCAGTAGGTACAACTCTCTGTTTTCATACTTTCTTTCTAGCTTGTTTGTCATTATATGGTGTGTTTTAGATACATCGATTTTTGTATAAGGATTCCTGGAATCACTTGGAAACTTTTAATCACTCGTATGATCTTAATGGAGATTGCTCTTGGTATCAAAAGCATGACAAAATGTCCCGTGCATCAGATGCAAGGCATGTTAAACTTGGACAAATTTACAGACACTTACAGAGGATCAAGCATGTGTAAGGTGCATTCTCAAATTCAGTATCCCAGCAGCTTTGCACTTGACTTGTTTTGTTACTTTAGAGCGTTTGAGAGTGAACAAGAAGGTGATCTGTATTTTCAGGACCAGCAACAGGCTGAATATGATTGTCTATTTCTTGAGAGTTAGATATGCATTAAGATTATGTTTATTTATGTATTTTAATTTAGGGTTCTATTTAGCTTTTTTCTTGACTGAAGGTGTGTTTCTATCACTGCTAAATCACTTTCTCACTCTGAGTGTGATTGGTGATTGGTATTTCTTCTAGATGTGTGTGGTCTGTAATTAAATCTCAGTTATCTAGTACTCAGTCTGTGCGGTATCCAGTAAGAAGAGGATTAATCTCACTTATTATATGACTTAATTTGCAACATTTCTATTGCAGTTATATCATACTGATCAAGATACAGTTATATATCAGCGTATTTGTGGAGATGAATTCTGCAGATGAATTTAAAGTTGTTTTTTATGCCATGCCTACTATAGTATAGTGGCTAAAAAATGAAAGCAAAACAATGAGTTAGATAAATCCAATATTTAACAGAAAATTAACTGAAACAATTCTGATATGGTTCACGATATACACTCAATGTCTTTCTTTAGATTTCTTTATTTACAGTTTGCAGTACAAGCTTAGATTTTTCTAGATCTTATAATGCACAATCCAGAAATAAACACAGTCGTTTTTAGCTGGAGACACATACAATTCTGAGATTGGGACACAGTGAAAATGTTGAGCTAAAGTGTGAAAAAACAGCACTTAAAGTAAAACTATGAAGATGCTGTAGCACTGAAAGACGTCACTTCCTTATATAACTTTAATGTGACTGAACAGATTGCTGCCTTTTCACACTGCTCAGTGCAGTGACTGTAAGCTTGTTGTGTGTGAGAGTAGATGTGTGGTTAAGTGTGTGTGGCTGGTTGTATGTAAAAACACTGCTGAAAAGTATTGTATTTGTAGTACAATACTGCAGTGGATGTCTTTGGTTCACATCTAAGAGCACAGCATTTGCTTATGCCGCGGTTCATTAATTCATTAATTTGTAACTCATTTGCCGAATCCTTTCTCGTGTCCCCACAGGCTTTTAATATCAGATTTTCCATCCAAAGACTGAGCTTTTTTTCTCAAATAAACAAATAAAGGTAAAATGAAAAAAAAAAAAGAACTAAAATCAGAAATTAGATCTTAATGTGTTAGCACCCATACAGTACGACCCGACTTCCACTTTCAGTTGACCACGCGGAGTCATAGCGTACAGTATAAGAAACTACTTGAATTCAGACTGTGTCATCCTAAAAACAAACTCATTATATCTTTGGATAATTTGTCCTCCAACCATGTGGTGTAATAACACTTGCTCATGCTCATGCTGCTTTTCTTGATGACCTTTTCCTTTTACTCGCAGAATGAGACACTGCCTCTGGGCACAGACTTTCTAATGAAAAAGTGAGCGATTTCACCACTCCCACTGTTACAGTATGCTTTGCCGCGGTTTGGTTTGATACTTTGGTGACATGGTTCAATATTTTTTCGATACAAAAGAAAAGTTCATGCCTTTTTAATTTGTCATTTATTAAAATTATAAATATATATTTTAACTCAAAAGTACAGTTTTTAAATTTAATGTTGCTGAAACAACAAAATAAAAAACAAAACAAATCTATCTAATCGAGAAATCACTCATCTTTGGAAAAGAGTCGAGCGCAGATCCACTGAGCTCTCAACACAGACAGCATCGTCAGAGGAAAAGTTGATAAAATAAATTAAAAATTTTGTATTGTTCGATACATATGCTACCGAACCGAAAGCACTGTATCGAACGGTTCAGTATCGATACGAGTATCGTTGCACCCCTATTATATATGTATATGGTTAGATTTTCTGTATGATTAGACTGCATGTTGCTTGCTTTATGATAAATTTCTCCAAACCTGCATTCACTTGTGAAAAATCCCAGGAGGCAGTTTTAATTAAATATAGATATTAGATGGCGTCTGTGGGCACTCGCAAAGTTTTCTCATAAATTATGCTGCCACATCTTAATGGTTGCAATGTTTTAAATTCTTCCTTTTTTTCAAGGACGGTATGAAAACATGCAGCTGCTTTTGGATAAGATGAGACAGCTGGGAATGAATGATCGTGTATATTGGAAAACATCATCATACTGTACATACGCTGGATTTAATATGTACACTACAAGCTCTGCGATCTGCTTGGCTGGGACATGTAGCCTAAGCTCTGCTTGATCCCCGTGTGATCAGTGGATTTTTATGCATTGAAATCAAGGATTAGCTGTTTTATACATCATTATGTTCAATATTTGTGCCTGAATCTGGATTTGTTTGGCAGTGTTTTGTCTTTGTGCCCAATAGCTGGTCAAAGAGTGATGAGATACAAAGATAGTTCATGCCAAAAACTAAAATAAAACCAAACACACATTAAATCTTGTGTACTTTATCTGGTGTGAAGACAGAAGAAGTCTTACTAGTTAAAACTAGCAGGCATTTTAACCATGTTCTCATGTCATGCTTCAAATGACTCTTTGCTCATTCCTCAAAATTAGCGTTTAAACTTGACAAAGGTAAAAATATCCGCTCCCTTGTACAGAAAGCATATTCACTAAACTCAGCTAGAGTTCTCTTGTAAATATTCAGTGATAACGAAGTGAGTTCTTAAAAACAAAAAAACAAAAACGTCTGTATGAGTGAAATTTGCCCTGAAGTCACATCTGGAGTTAGGTCGTAGAGAGGGTAGATGGGGACATAAACGCTGCCTGAGAAGCTCTTGGGGTCAAACTGAACCTGATGTTTGAAACATCCCAGAGCCATAGCTGTGTTCACAGTCACAAAGGTCTGACCTCAGCTGCAGTCACAATGACGCAGCGTCAGAAACATTTGTTCATCGGATGAACGTGACATTTGAAGAGCTACATTCAAATCATCCGTCCCCTATTGCAGTGGGGGTGATCGCAGTGATCAGAAATAAATAACAAACTAATGAGTATAGATAAGAAGGAATGTTTAGTTCTTAAAAATATACTATTGATCAAATAAATGAACATTTCCAGACACAGTCAGATCCGACTCACCTTTTTTGGACAGTCAAGTTTGAACATTATGTTGCTCAGCAATCACAGAACGGCTCCTTAACATGCCTAAATACCTACAAGTCCAAGGGTCAAACTCAGCTGAACTTTTCATCTGTCAGGGTGAAAACTAGAATTATTAATGGTCACTGGGCTGTCTGTTTGTATCGCAGACTGTGCAGTCTCTGCTTTAAGAGTATAAGACACCCTGTGTGGTTGTGTTTGGGTGTTCTGGTGAGTTTGTGAGAAACGTTACAGCGGATTATGCCGATGCATCCTGAGTTTCAACCTCGTGTGCGTGTGTGTCACACCTCCGGGATGAATAGTGACAGCAACATAACCTAAGCAAGTGGCTAAAACTTGAGGTGGCTTGGACCTCATGCGTGTAAATGTGTGCGTAGGGCTGGAAGAAGAGCGTAAACATACATGAGCGTGTGCTCGTATTTCTACGAATACTGGCTGCATCTCTTTCCTGTCTGATGGGATAATATGAAAGCCCACAGAGGACAAACACCTCCACCTGAGACTAAAAATGGGATTCATTTTGTGCCTTGTTTGCTTTCTGATTTTCTCTTTCATCCTCTTTGTGTTTGCCTCTGCAGCTTTTAGTAATGTGAAGCATGTGACGGACTGTTAATCCGTCTGAGAATTAATCCCTTTGAGATGCTGCGTTCTCGTCACTGTACGCTAGCTCTCCTGAGACCAGGAGCAGCTGTTTGTTTAACCTGAACAGAAAATATCATTTTCCAGTTGTGCCTTTCATCACTCTATTATTTATGTTGTACTGAAAACGGTGCTCACTTGCAATATTTTTCATTTCTATAGCACCAATTCATCACTACATTGTAGGTTAGAGACCTTAAAATATTGAGTACCAGATTAAAACCCTATTTAATCGCATATTTCAGCTTGTCATTCGTGTTGTTGCACCTGACTTTATTAATCACCCAGTTTTGTTTTTCTTTCTCTACTTACCTGGCAGCAATTCCCGGCTGTGAGTGGGGCCTTCATGGATTCTCCGTACAACGGCAACACGTCCTTGCAGACGTCCACGTCCAACCTCAACGCCGGCTATTCGCGGCCCTCGGAAGCCGAGGATGACGGCAAAGTGTCCAGTGACACCATTTGGCTGTGGATTGCTGTCCTGGCAACAATTGGCAACATAGTGGTGGTGGCTGTGGTTTGTGCCTGTGCCTTCTGACAAAGTAGAAGAGTGGAACAAAAAAATTCTGCTGCTGTCGGACATAGCAACTCTTGTATATTTTGAAAATATACTTTCTCTAGAAATGTTGTAAAATAGCCTTACTTTAAGACTGATCCCATGGATTATTTTTCTTTTAAATATAAGCATCAGTTTGAATTTTGCAGAGGAATTTGCATGGGAGTCTTTATTCCCACAGCCCCGTCACCCCACTCCTTTTTCAAAACGTAAAATCAGCGATCATATTGAAATAATTAGCTCACAGAATCTTTCTGTTCATTTGTACAGTTCAACAACCACAAAAGGAAAGCAACAATTAAGGTTGTGATATATGTTGGTACAGAAGTTCACTTTAACGTAAAATGTGATGAAATGGCTCATTGGCCAAACTCAGATGACGTGCATGTACATCATGTAGTTTGTTACACGATGCAGGAACTTTTCTCTTTTTTTAAAATTTCCAAAGTGAAAACTACATATTACAGTTAAAAACAGACCTTTGTTCCCTTATGCAATGCACAGATTTAAAGACATTTCTGCTGTTACCCTTGTTCTGCCTGTTTCTAGAATGCTTCATTTGAGAGCACTATCATAATTCATTGGTTTCCTTTGTGTGTAACCTGTTTAATATGCATTAAAACCATGGCTATGACTCAGTTTTAATCCTGTGCACTTCTTTGTAAACAATTCTGATTGTTAAAGGCCACAGAAACTTGTCCTCGGGCTCGCCCTTTAAAGCTGAAGGACTAAAAGTGTCACAGCGATGTTTATTTTAGCCTCCGTGAAAACAGTGTATTAGCATTTTCTACTAGGCACTGCTACCTGAGCAAAATAGGAAATTTATTATTTATGAGTTATTTATTTTGGACTCTGGACAGAATAAAAGCTATGGTCCTAAAATTGTAGTAATATGCTTGCACGGGTCAGTTATTACGTAAACGGATTTTGAGCTGGTTACTCTGCAGGCTCAGCAGAGGTCAGCGTCACAACCACAAAGGATTAGATAAGATCAAGAGCCTGATCTCTTACGGGGACCAGAAGCCAGAAGGAGGTCAACTGTTTGAAGCTTCACACTGATGAGTTAATGGTCAGAGGTTTGAGCAACCAGTGCACCGATGAGTTTTTATTTTTATTATCAGCAAACATACTACTGGAAACCTGCACAGTAATATGGTTACTGTGATATGACCCATTCCTCTGTGGATTCACATTTTGATGCCTCAGCTTTCCCTCTTTACATTTAGGTTTTCTCTTGGCTTTCTGGAGTCAAGAGTGTAAAGAGTGTTATTTTTATCTTTATGGATGCGCCTTAATGGGAGAAACTCCATTCATTCATACATTTCCCCCCATGGTGCTGGAGCCTATTCCAGCTGTGATAGGTTAAGAGGCGGGACACACCCTGGAGAGGTCACCAGTCTAATATCTACTAATACCTGCTAAAATAGTTCCAGATTGATAGAAATGAATTCATTCAGTGACTAAAACTGGAGCACAAATGTCTTACATCACTAAAAATGCTCCAAAAGGCACCAGCGAGTCAAGGCCAGTTTAGTGACTAAAATGAACTGAAATGACCCGTAGCAGGGAGCTAGTGGCAGTTTGGGTAACAGCCTATTGCTTAAGAGAGCCAGACTCCTACTGAATCATATTTAGGGACATTTTAGAACTTAAAGAGATCAGTTAATAAAAACAAAATTCTTCACTCTACTTCTTGGAAATTAGATGATATATTGTGCATATTAACATTATGTGTTTACAATGTATAAACATTTGTTTTAGGGTCGGAATATTAACATGTTCAAAATAAGTCTGGGACAACTGGCGTGCCAACTTTATGAGCTACTAATGTGTATATTTTTAGCTTTATAAATATATCTTTCAATCTCTCTCACTACAGCGCCGTGTTTACTGTTTGTCCACACTGAGAAATCCAAAGCATGCTTATACTTACAGCAGAGCTGTAATGAACAATCAATTATGTCAGTTTTAAGCTGCAAGAACAACTATGCCATGACTAAAGTGCTTTTTACATTAGTCAGTGCTCCAGCAAAATCTAGTTGTCCCAGTGTGTTTTCTTTCAAGAAGCTGTGGCACCCTTTAAAAGCCCAGAGGAAAGAAACTCTTTGTAGAAAGAAATGGGGCTCAATGGGATTGAGCAGTGATTTGTTCAAATTTAACAACCAGGAGAGGTCATGCGGAGGCATATCTTTCGGTCAGGGTTACATTTGCCCCATTATGATGAGGGTGGATACATCATTTAAAAAGTGTAGTGCCATTTGCTTTCAGCTTCCTTCCAATCACTGAGATTGTTAGAGGAGGAATTAGCTTTGATAAAGGCAACAGCAAAGAAAGAATGACACAAGAGCAGAGAGAGGACAAAGAGATAAGAAATCAGAGAGATGAGGAAAGATCACAAGAGGTCAGAAGTAATGGAAAGAAAGTTGAGAAAAATCTGAGGTTCGCCTGTTTCCAGGATCTGAGGGAAACTCCAGAGTCTGGTGATAAAATGTCACTTAAAGTGAGTCCATTTACATACAAGTGTTAATGCATTGCACAATTATATAAAAAGTAATTAAGGGCTGTTTTACCCAAAATATAATTGCAACCCACAATTTCTCTTAACCTTAATAATGACATAATTTCAGCTAAAAACAGGAAACCAAGGCTACAATATGCACAGTTTACCAGAATTGGACAACAGAAGATTGGAAAAACATTTCCTGGTCTAATACGTTTTTAGAAGGAAAACGGGATAAAGACATGCTGTGGAAGAGGGACAGAGGTTAATAACAGGTATGATTCAATGCAGAGAAGTGACTGGAAAGGAAAAACTCAATGCATCATGGGAATCCCCCGGCAGCCTATGTCTATTGCAGCATAACTAAGGGAGGATTCAGGGTCACCTGGTCCAGCCCTAACTATATGCTTTAGCAAAAAGGAAAGTTTTAAGCCTAATCTTAAAAGTAGAGATAGTGTCTGTCTCCCGAATCCAAACTGGAAGCTGGTTCCACAGAAGAGGGGCCTGAAAACTGAAGGCTCTCCCTCCCATTCTACTTTTAAATACTCTAGGAACAACAAGTAGGCCTGCAGAGCGAGAGTGAAGTGCTCTAATGGGGTGATATGGTACTACAAGGTCATTAAGATAAGATGGGGCCTGATTATTTAAGACCTTGTATGTGAGGAGCAGGATTTTGAATTCAATTCTGGATCTGGAGCCAATGAAGGGAAGCCAACAGGAGAAATATGCTCTCTCTTTCAGGTCCCTGTCAGGATTCTTGCTGCAGCATTTTGGATTAGCTGAAGGCTTTTCAGCGAGTTTTTTGGACATCCTGATAATAATGAATAACAGTCGTCCAGCCTGGAAGTAATAAACGCATGAACTAGTTTTTCAGCGTCACTCTGAGATATTTCTAATTTTAGAGATGCTGCGCAAATCAGCAGTCTTACATATTTGTTTAATATGTGCGTTGAAGAACATGTCCTGGTCAAAAATGACTCCAAGGTTCCTCACAGTGTTACTGGAGGCCAAGGTAATGCCATCCAGAGTAAGAATCTGGTTCGAAACCATATTTCTAAGATTTTCAGGGCCGAGTACAATAACCTCAATTTAATCTGAATTAAGAAGCAGAAAGTTAGCGGCCATCCAGGTCTTTATGTCTTTAAGACATTCCTGCAGTTTAACTAATTGGTGTGTGTTATCTGAGTACTTAGTTATCAACATGCTGTTGTGCACTATGTAGTTTTAACCCATCAGTTTTTTGTCTTTAATTGCATGTGTTTCTACATATGCATGTGTTTGCATGTGCATCTCAGCATCTCTCTGTTAAAGATTTAGTCTAGAGTGAATTGCGTCATTGTCCTGTCAGTCCTCAGCAGACTAATGAGCTGTAATGTGCCTCTTGAGCTTCCTACTCATTTAAAATAATAACTTTTTCACTTCCTTGCTTGATTATCCTAGAGGGAAGTGTTTCCCCACAGGCTTTAGATCGGCCACAGCAGATCAGCTCTCTGTGGCTAACTTTATTAGAAGATAATTTTGCAGAGAGAGCTGCCAGAGTCCAGAGAGAACAAAAAGAACAGAAATGAGAAAGACTTTGTCATGATAGTCATCAGAGGCAAAAAGGCGATGAGTGACACAAAAAGTAAAAGAGGAATATGTGGATGGGAAAGGGAAGATAATGAAGGTGGAAATGCATCGTGCTCATTTCTTGGCATTAATAAACTGACTTCAGACACCTGACAAGGAAAGAGACACTGGATAGGAGTGAGAGAGGAAATGAGAGGATAAGAGCGATGATGGATTAGAGGAGACAAAGGAAAAATGGGAAGAGGTAGTGTGAGGAGGATGATTTTTGAAAGAGTGGTAGTCATTATCAACTGCTCATGTCATGTCGGGTGGGAATGAGAATAAATTAGTAATAATTAAAACTTTAAGGTGAGATTATGGCAAGAAAAAAATCTAGTGGGGTAAAAAAATAAACGTTATGTTTGTAAAGGAAAGTACCCAATTATATAGCACATAAAGGCCGGCTGGCACATTCATGCTATTCTAATTTTCTTCTTTTGTGTATGACTGCTTTTCATTTTAAAGCTTGGACCTACAGTATTAGCCCAAAAGATATCAGTATGTTCTTACCCAGTGATAACAAGCTTAGCCTGACTCATCTGATTCCACAAAGACATATAAACTTATATATAACGGAAACCCACCAGATAGGAAGGCTCTTTGGCTGTCTTTGTCTACATCTTCATCCTGCTTTCTAATTCCCAGTGCTTAGTAACTCCAATCTCTTAACTACATGAAAATCCTTTAACTACACGTGTTTAATGTAAATGTCAAATATTCTGACGTCACACGTTTTCTCTTGCTGTTATTGTGCTGAGCGATCCCTATACTGTAGATTGCTATAGAAAAAGAGGTAGCATAAATAGGCTCCCTTGCATTGCTCATTTGCAGCAAGTAAAATTAAATACATCCTCCACACTAGACATGAACCCAAGATGGCAGCATAACAAGCTAAATGATCCATAAAACTGAAGCGCAAGAGGAACCGAGCAGCTGGGGTTCATCTCAGCTCCTTGCAGAGTCTGACCCTGAATATATCAGCTCGAGGGTTTTGCCCTGTCAGCAGGGTTAAGTCAGGTTAACTGGCAACCTTTTTCTTACTGTAAGCCTTATTCTTGCCTAGCTCGATTAGTATAGTTTACATATTTCTCTTATCTCCTTTTGAGAGGAGCCTAAAGTGTTATTAACTACTATGATGAGAATTTAAAAAGCTCAATTGGTGTTGCATAATATACACCGTGGTCTATTCCTCCTTTGTGTCACGCTGTACCCTCTGTTCTTCCCCTTTCATCCCTTTCTCTGTCATCTCTCACATCCCTCCTTTCATGCATGCGAGGCACCAGACCGTGAAATCCACATTGTGAAACCCCTCTTTTGTACAAACACACACTCTCACACACACACACACACACACACTGTCCTGACCAGACCCTTGACTCGTAACATTTTTTTCGTCTCGATTTTGTCGTAACTCAGATTTTACTAATTTTGTGACGAAGCTGGTCTCACCGCGATGTGAGGAAAACCTAAATCATACAAACCTTTTAACAAATAAACAATAAAAAACTATAGGGGTCAATTTCCCT